ATTTACCATATAGCTTCTGCAGAGTTATGTCTACAGATTACGTGGAGGATATGTGTAGATATTCTACAGAGATATGTGCGAATATTCTATAAAAATATTTATGAAGTTTCTAAAGGTTCCGCGTAGAGAACCAGATATAATGTGTGTATAATCATATAATAAATCTCTACGGACAGTAACCGATTCAATTTATAAAAAACTGACCCATACTCCTAGAAAATTCTAAGCAAGCTTTAGTTTTTATGAAAGATCATATGGAAGTTTTTGAGTATTTGAAAGCTTTATAAAATCCGCAAAATTTCTTTTCGCGAATTACAAAAAATGATTTAAATTTTCATTTATGAAATGAATTATTTAACCTAAACTTTGAAATGATTCGTGACATGGGGAGGGAGAATAAAAACGTTCGTCGTGAACGGATATTTTTCTTTTAAAAAAATTGAATATTGTTTCGATTTAAAAAATACTTAAATAAAAATTAATACATTTTAAATAACAGAAAATTAATTAAAATTAAGAAAATGTTGTTCTTATCAGGGCTACTTACGTAATAATTAAAATAATTTGTTTTCAGGAATTTCAGGAACTTTTAACGACATAAATTTAATCATTTAATTAATTTTTAACATTTAAATTGATTTTACGCTTTTATATAACCTTTATATTACGTAATGAAAACTCTGCAAAAAATTGCACAAAATTCTATATAAGTTTAGAAGCTAAAAAATGTTAAGCCCAGAACAAAAAAGGAAAATATCAATTGAGGAATGACTGAAAAATATGAAAGAAAAACGTTTAGTTTTGTTGTTCTATATCCTGCAAGGCAATAGTCTAAAACTTAAACTGCACGTGAGCCGTATAGAGGACATAGCATATGGGCAGAATTGCTGATGGGCCAGAAAATTTTTACTTCCTTGTAAGAAGTATAGCAATCGCGAAAAATTTCTTATATCATATTTCAACGGAAATACTTATTTTCACCGTTAACGCATCCATATAGACATTTTTTTTGCCTGACGTTTAAGCGTACGGACACAATAAAGAACTTTTCTGCAAAATTGTCAAATGGATTTAAAATAGATTCAAAAGAAATTTTTCGTAACATCTGCATCTCGCATAATTCAAAACGATTAGGCATAGAAAGTTGAAATTTTGTAATGGGACGGCTATAACAACTAGTTGTGCACCTCCCTTTTCTATTTCAATAGGCAGTATCAAACGTACATATTTATATACACACACATACCCATTTCCTTAGTCGGCTTAAAAGTCCTTATTCGACTTTTATTTTTGCAATCGTTTGTATTCATATACTTTCAATTGCAGATATATTTTAAATGATGAAAATGTTCGTGTTTTGGCTGTATCAAATTGGAAAAAAATTCGATAAGGTACGAAATCTAATAACTTTTAATGCGATGTCCGTGTTCCTATACTTATATTTCGGAAAGTTTTGTACTCCTAATGAAAAAATAAAATTGTAAGAAGTTTGACTCCCGTTCGGCAAAAATTAACCGCGATATATAATTTCAAAATTTGTAAGTTTTGATGTCACTTTCAAATTGCCTAGAGGGAACTATTAATTAAGTTAGAATAATTCGAGGAAATAAGTTAAAATAACGTACAGCAAAAAAACGTGTATAATTTAACAGGCCGTAACGAGAAAATCATGTCGTGTCGACGTCAGTTTTTTAAAAATTTTTTTATTTACAAAATAAAAAATTTTATTATCAAAACAAAAAATATTTAAAATGAATTTTAAGTATGTATAATTAAATATTTTAGTATTATGTATTATTAAAATTATTCAATATTTATCGAAACATTACTAATAATATTGCAGTATCGCATAAGAGTTAAAATTAATTTTTATTTTCTATTTGGTACCTGCAATATAACTTTGTTAACGTTTATTTAAAATAGTTTTAATACGTTTACTTAATCATAAAATAACTTATTTTAATTTGAGCTGTAAGAAATTATGAAAACTTTCTTAACTTTTTAAAGAAAATTCTCAAAGTAGGACAAAACTTGAGAACAAATAATGACAACCTAGCCTCTTTCTCTTATTTATGAAACTTTTCTTTGATGAACAAATAAAAATGCATATGTTTGTGTATAAATAATTATAAACATTCTTATTTGTTACTGCAGCTTGACACTTGATGGCATGTCAATTCTGATAAAGTTAGTATGGTATGGTACATTTAATTATGGCAAAGCACACGAGGGCTATCTGCCTAAGGGGAGGGATGCCTTCGTGGAGGTTTTCTAAGGGAAACTGGCTCGTATACACGTTACACATGGGGGAAAACCAACGAAAACACCCATGCAGCCAGCCCGTTCGCGGGATTCAAACCCTCGGACCGAACTACCAGTGTTCAGCGACTTTACCGCTGATAAAGTTGGAGAGAAATTACTAGAAACTATCTTCTTCGCGGAATGTTGTTACTCTCTCTCTCAATCGGGCTCTTTATTAATTTTCTGCTGTGAAAAAGTGTGTTCACATATAAATGTATACCCAAACAAAGTAATTGTTCTTAGTGCGAATAACTGAGTTAATGTTTTTACAAATACAATTATAAAGAAATCTGTATCTTCAAATCTTTGAATAAGATCTATATCAGATTATAAATTAATTAGCTCCATTTATAGATTTCCTAGAACGTTATTCCAGTTCGTTTTTAATGGAAATGAAAATAATGTGAACTTGGACTTCAAATAACTAAAATCTTTGGAACAAACACCGTATTTGCAACAAATATGCAACAGAAATGTCTTCGCAGACCACGTGAAATTGCTTCGGGGGGGGGGAGGTTGATAAACGACTCGCGGGCCGTTAGTTTGAAACCACTGCCATACAGTAATCAGAAACTGAAAATTTACTTTGAGTTTAAAATTTTAGAGATTTCTGTGGAATAACATTCCACAAATGCTTTTTAAATTTCTATTTTATAAAGCAAAATTTCGGTAGAATTTTGTTTTGTCAAAGCTTTATAAAATTTCTATAGAATTTTGTAGAGAAGCACTTCACTTGAGGATTACCTGTGAAATTCTTGAGGAATTTCTGTAGAATTCTTTTCTGACAAAACTTTGAAAATTTGTATAGAAAGTGTAAAAAACAATTGTAAAAGTTCTAAAGAATTTTGTAGGGAAGCATTTCAGTTGAGGATTACCTATAAAGATCTGTAAGAATTTCTATAGAATTCTATTTTATTAAAGCTTTGTAAAATTTCTATAGAAATTTATAGAGAAGCATTTGAATTGAGAATTAGCCATGAAGTTATCTGGGAATTTCTGTAGAATTCTGCCAAAGCTTTATAAAATTTCTATAGAACTTTATAGAGAAGGATTTCTTTATAGAGAAGGATTGAGCATTACCAATAAAAATTCTGTAAGAATTTCTGTAGAATTCTGCTTTGTCAAGGCTTAGAATTCCATTTGGCAAAGCTAACAATTTAGTTTTGTCAAAATTTTGTGAAATTTCTACAGAAATCTAAAGAGAAGCATATCAATTAAAGATTACCCATAAAGTTCTATAAGAATTTCTATAGAGTTCTGTCTTGTCAAAGCTTTATAACATTTCTATAGAAATTTATTCAGAAGCATTTCAACTGAGGATTACCTATAAAGTTCTATAGAAATTGCTGTAGAATTCTGTTTTGTCAAAGCTTAGAATAATATTTTGTTAGAGCTTTGCAAAATTTCTATAGAAATTTATAGAGAAGCATTTCAATTGAGGATTACCCACAAAGTTCTATAGAAATTTGGAGCCGACCAGCGGCAGAGCGGTAAAGTCGCTGAACACTGATAGTTCGGTCCGAGGTTCGAATCCCGCGAACGGGCTGCCTGCATGGGCGTTTTCGTGGTTTTCCCTATGTGTAACGTGTATACGAGCCAGTTTCCCTTAGAAAGTCCTCCACGAAGGCATCCCTCCCCTTAGGCAGATAGCTTTCGAGGCTTTGCCATAATCACACACACACACACAGAAATCCATAGAAATTTGTATAGCATTCTGTTTTATCACAGATTTGTAAAATTTCTATAGAAATTTATAGAAAAGCATTTCATTCGATGGTTAAAGTTCTATAGGAATTTCTCTAAAATTCTGTCTTCTTAATTTTTATAAAATTTCTATAGAATTTAATGGAGAAGCTTTCAGTTGAGGATTGCATATGTAATTCTGTAGGAATTTCTGTATACTTCTTTTGTCAAAGCTTCATTTCACTTGAAGATTACTATAAAGTTCTGTACGAATTTCTACAGAATTCTGTTTTGTCAACGTAAAATTTCTATAGAAATGTATAGGGAAGCATTTTAGTTGAGGGTTACCTATAAAGCTCTGTAGGAATTACTATCAAATTCTGTTTTGTCAAATCTTCATGAAATTTCTATAGAATTTTATGGAGAAGCTATTCACTTGAGGATTTCCTATGAATTTCTATAGGAAATTCTGTATAATTCTGTTTTGTCAAAGCTTCATAAAACTTCCGTAGAATTTTACAGAGAAGGATTTAAGGATTACTATAGAAACTTCTATAGAGCATTATCAACCTGTGTAAGACATTTTCGTGAAGGCATTCCCGAAATTTGACCTCTCTTTTCGTTCGGCACAATAAATAGATATAAACAGAGAGTATCCATCAGATACATTGCGAACGATAAAGGGTTTTAAATACTTCACATGCGACACATACTTATCTATTTTGTCCTCTTAAACTCTTATCCCACGCGCCACAATTCTCGAAATAGTAATAATGATTAGCTGTCTTAAAAAAATGAAATATCAATTGGCAGGGAGATTCTTATCAATTTGTATGCATCCGGGAAATGGTAAGGATGAAATTTACGTGTCATCTCGTTCCACCTTCGAAGCGTAAAGACCAGGCAAGATAAAAAATAGGGCACTTTTGGTTGGTCTGTCTCTTCTGCAACCGACAAATGTTATCTCGAGACAGAGGAATATATTTAAGTTTCGTATTAACTTCTGTTTGGTCATTCAAGCGAATATTTCATTGGGTGATATCATGCGTAATCTGGTTTCGTACTGCCGAGCAGAACGGTGAGGTAGTATATGAAGTTTATTCTCATTAAAGTAGATCTTGTTGTTTCGATTTCAGCCATTTTTAAACAGTATCTTATGTGTTCATCGCTTGTTAAGATGACTACTATAATCTGATGTTTGCAATTAATCGAATCTATAGCAGAAATTCTTAAACTCTGGCCTCTGAACGCTCAGAAATATACCAGTTGATAATCAGTGCCCATAATTGATGATTCCAAGTGAAATTTTGTGAGCCCAAAAGGGGTTATTAGTCTCGAAATGGAATCACTATAAAAGTCTGAATCTGTTTTCAAATTGTTCCCACCAAATATTATAGCTCTATATTATTCTTAAAGAAATTAAATAATGAAGAATTTGCATGTATGTATGTATGCTGCTCGCACTGCTCGACGGTAATTAAAGCCATTAAATTTTGAGTAACCTAGTCGTCCATCCGAATATGGGCACCTAAAAGCCGAGCCGGAATTTTGAATATGGAAATGTTTTTATTATTCATTTCATATTTTTTAAAACTTAAATCAATTTTTTGTTATCAAACTCAACGATATGAAAGCGAGCAAACGCATTACTGTACTAAATAAAGCATTTTTATCTCCTACGCAAGAGACTGTATATCGGAAATTCTAAAAATATATCTTTTTTAAATATTTTGTGATTTTGTTGTTGTGCGAAGTGTAAGTGCCAAGAAAATGATGCTTAATAATAAATCTAAAAAGGTAAAAAAAAGGGGGGTTAGAAGGAGTGTACAATGTACTAAAAGTATCGTGCAGTGCCAATTAATTTTCATCGTAATCGATTTCTAGAATTGTACCAATCTTGATGTGAAATTTGATAAAACTCTAATAAATGAAATTACTTTTAACTATTGTATATGTACTCTCGGGATGAGAAAAATAGTTTCTTAATTTTCGTAAACTTTACTATTATTTAAAATGTATTTATTTTTGCTTAAATGTTCTTTTTTTAATCGAAACTATACTGACATTTTTTATTAGGATAAAAGTTCCATCCGTTTCGAAAGCTCTTACCTCTCCCCTCCCTTCATATCATAGAATATTTCAAAATTTAGGTTTAAAAAATTCTATCTAAAAATAAAAATTTAATTCATTCTTTTTAATTCCCTTCAAAATTTTGTTTGGGGGGGGTTATTATGCTTTTAAGCACTCGAAAACTTTTATATGATCTCTTATTGAAACTTGAAGCAATGAAAGTTGTTTAGAATTCTTCAAAATTATGGCCCAGTTTTCTTCAAATTGGATCTTATGTTTTAAATAGAATTCTGTTAGTTGCTTTTATGCACGTTTTATAAGTTCCCATACATGCGGCCTTTGGAAACTGTGTAGATATTTATAGAACCTTTGCATGAATCCCTATACAATATCTACACTATCTCTAAAGAATGTGTTTACATAACTCTACAGAAGCTATATTTGTAATTTTATAAAACTCTGTGGAGGATGTTTATAGAAGTGGTAGTAGGTTTCATTTTTTTCCCCGCAATACTTGAAAGGTTATATTCTCCAGGCAGATGTGAAATCTTTCCGAATACTAGTTTACGACTACAGTAGAATTAAAATCAAATGAGATAATAAAAACATAGATATTAAAATTAGATATAAATAAAACTCAGATGATGTCAGATGTGAAACAAGAATAAAGAAACAATTTAAACAAAAAATCAAAATTAAATAAAGCACTGTCTTTGTCAGGTACGTACATAAATTGGTATTGACCTCTTTCCCGATTATACGCTCAACGGGCACGTCACATTCGTTAAAATGTTTCAGGCGAAGACTTTTAAAGTATGGACATTCTATTAAAAAATCTGATTTGGACACCACATGACATCCTTGAACGGCCTATTAAATTATACTTTTTTTTTTTTTTTTTTTTTTTTTGTTTGCTGCATTTCATTTAAACTTGCTTTCTCAAATTTTGCCTGAGAGGTACCTTTCATTCAGTCAATTCAATTGTTACTTCGAGGCTTCATTAAAAATTGTAAAATAACTGAAAAGCATAAAACACAAAATAAAATACTTAAAATTAAGAGTTCCTAAGCAAAAATAAAGCAATTCCGCCAACGTGCAGTAAGACAAAATTTCCGGTGCACAAAATTAAAAGTAAACTTCTGGTCCCACTGTGGAAAAAGACACTGGTGCACCGACTGACTTAATTCACTGTTTTACTAAGAGTTTCAAATGCAAACAAATGGTGGCTTCGTTAGGCTTAGAACCACATACACTTTTAAATTGTTTCTAATTCTACAACTATTGCATGCAGATTAACTAAAGGCATAAATTCTTTTACCGGAACATAAGAAGAGCATAATTCAATAACTTTGAAAGTTAAAAAATATGCAATTTACTGACATATAAAAATAAAAATCCTGAGCTCACCGAGCAAGGTAACAGAGTGGTTATATATATATGTATATATACTTACTTTTGGTGCGGCCGATTGCATACAAAAAGAGAGATGCAGAACTACATATTATAGCAGCTCCATATACAAAATTTCAACGTTCTGAGGGTACTCGTTTTTGAGTTATACGAGATACATATATACGTACGTACAGACGTCACAAAGAAAATCTGTTCTGAATCCTTTTAAATCCATTTTACAATCCGTTTTGGTAAAAAGTTAGGCAAAAACATCGTTCAAATGGATTCGAGAGCAGTCAAAATGGACATTTTCGTTGAAATATGATACGCGAAATTTTTTGCAATTATAATACTTCCTTTCTTTCGTACAAGGAAGTTAAAATGATGCACTGACATAAGAGCATTGCAGTTTGAACAACGAGGTTCATTCTCCCCTTTTTATAGGTACCTCGTCCGCTTTTATATCCACATGTCCAAGAACCCAGCAATAAAGGATGTTGCACTGACAGCTTCTTAGTTTAAGATTGAAGCTTGTAAGATATTTCACCCTCCTTTTTGCATGCCTTCGGGGTGTAACTGTTAGCACACTCGTGTGTATTCGAGAGGATCCAAGTTCGAGTCCGGGCGAGGACATTTCTCATTTTTCGTGTCTCCCACTTCCAAAATCCTGATAACTACAGTGGCGCCCGAACTAGAAGATGGTGGATGATGCTCACCACCAGGATTTGGCGATTGGGTGACCTAATTCCCAGTCGCCCTTTAAAAGGAAAGTATATAAGGTATTTTCTCCTTCCTTCCGGCATGCTTTCGTGGTGTAATGGTTAGCAAACTCGGCGCGTATTCGAGAGGCCCAGGTTCGAGTCTTGGTGAGGGCATTGCTCATTTTTCATGTACTGCAGCTTCAAAAAAAAATTCTAATAACTCCACAAGCTTAAGATCCTTGTTTATAGAAAAGTGGATCGTAATTCTAATGGATTCTTAAAGACGTTTAACATACTTTTTTATAGAAGTTCATGAGAAATATTTTCATAGAGGCCGAAAAATTGAACATAAGTAATCGATGATTTAACATTTAAATAAATAATACTTGCATGAAAAGACCAGCTAAAGATAAAGCATGAAAATAAAGCGTTTATTGTTTGTATTCAATTCTGAAAACTTCTTTTGCGTCACTTTGCATCCTAGGCGTCGATCCAAGAACCGATATTTCGTTCTCACTTATTAAGATGAAACTTTCGGACCCGAACTGGGAAAGTTGTGATCAAAGAACGAAAACAGTGAAATGAGAAACAGACAGTTAAGCATATATAGCCAATGCATTTTCTTGTCCGGGAAATCAATTTTCAAAACTCATGAATTAAACATTACGACTGCTTTCGAATTTTAGAATGCAACACCACCAAAACAAACCATGCTTAGAATTTCGAATTTCCGCTCGCTCATTTTTGGGGGGGGGGGGGGGGGGAGGGGGGGGTTGTGTGTGTGTTTGTTTTCTTGTTTGGCTTTACTATGCAAAATACGAAGCAGGTCAAGTATGTTGATGACTGCTCCAGCTTCCTGTCCTTTGCCATAGAACTTCTCAAGCTCTTTTGATTGCTCCGGAGACCTAAATCGTCGCATCTCAATAAGCTGCTCGGTGACCGTGGGAAACGGTCTCTCGAGACTTTGACCGGAACACCAAGTTGAGTGGGCTTACGGGGAAAGATGCAGTTACACAAAATTACCCACTTTCTGAAACCTAGAAGCGATTTGTTCACCGATAGCCATAACAAACGTTAAGGTATTCGGTAATTACACGCTTGAATAACTAGTAATCAAAGCAGTTTTGCATTTTAAAATTTTTATTTGCATACTGTAATGGAACTTAATTCTTGTGCTACAGCCTGCGACTAAGTACCTGGGGAGTACTATTAAATAAATTATTCCCGTAACTTGAGAGTAGCATTGTCTACATCGAAAGATCATTTTGTTTGATTAAGGAATGGAGTGAAAATGAAGTATAATTTTCTCATGAAAATAAAATTAAAAAAAAAATCTTGAAAGGTTTCCGATTTTTACGTTCACCCAAAAGAGTTTGTTAAGTTTTTTTTTTTTTTAACTCTCTCGTTGAGCTCGCTATCTACCAGTCTGCTGTTGCACTCACTTCTACTAAGCAATTTTTTGTTGTCTTTTTAGCTTTAGTATAAGCATCAATTTCTTCTCACTTATGTCATATACATTTAAACAGCAAAATTATAGAAATTTCAAAAGCAGCATAGCAATATATGTTTAGAATTTCTGATGCAGTGTTAAGTGTTGGCATACATTTTTCTGTTTATTTTTTTAATTCATCATATCAATCTTGAGTTTTACTACTACGTTGGCTTTACAAATTTTTTTTTTTTTTTTGTCTTTTTATTATTAACGGTTTGTGTAAATACTTTATTCATTAAATATCACGTTCATGACGGTTACTCCACGTAAAATTCGATTCAATGGCAAAATCACAGACTGTTTAAAAACAGCCTATCTTTAGTATAAGGTATTTATCGCGCCTTCCTAGTGTGACTTCAATTATTTGCAATATAAAAAAGTTATATGTACTTTAATATAAATAAAAAACACAGTTATGAAGTGGTTTG